GGGGCCGCCCCCCCTTTCAAGGGGGATAAACAGCCGGCCCCGCTTTACCAGCAGTCTGCAAAAGCGGCCCGGAGTCTTTCCAGCCGGAGAGATTACAGCCGCGGCGGCGTTAGCGCCTCATAAAACACCCACTTCATTAGGCCCCTGCCCGCGGCGCGGCCTCACGAGGCAGCTTTAGAACTCGTCAGGGAGCGGTTTAGAAGCCCGTCGCCCGCCGAGGGAGGCGAGGGTATCGGTCCAAGGCCAGCCTGATGAGAACCCCGCCGGCCTCCTGGTCCGTGTTTGCACACGCTGGCCGCCCCCACCCCCTTCTCAGGCAGGGAGAGGCTCATAGGTCAGACAGCTGCCGAGGGGAGAAGTGGGGGAATCCTTCCCCAGGCCCCCTGGGGTCCCAACAAGGTCCGGAGGCAGGGCTGGCTTTTTTTCCTGCAGCACGTGACCTGGGCTGTAGCTGCCTCCCACCCTCAGGTCCCCCTCTCATCCAGGAACCGCTCGCTCCCAGTTTTCTCCCCTGCAGGCAATGGGGAAAAGCGGGGAGAGTCCCTGAACAATCTGGGCCGGGGGGGGGGCGTGTTTTGCTTTGTGCCAGGCTGTTGTCTCCACCCCGTGCCCCACGAAGGAGACTCGCCCCGTCTCCGGCCAGGTACTCAGAGTCCTCGTCACTGCACGTGGAGCCATTCCTGGATTTAGCTGCCCAAGCGTCTCCCTTTTGCAGCTGGGCAGCCAGGCCTGGCCCAGACCCAGTGCCTTGTCTGTGGTCATACAGGGAGCTTGTGGCCACACCAGACACTGAACCAGCCCTTCCTCACCATCAGGGGAGCTTTCCTGGCTCCCTGCCTCCGCTCCCATCCCTGATGATCCCTCTCCCTCCAAACAGTGGCCCCTGGCTAGAGAATTCCACCCCCCCTCCCCCAGCATAGGGACAGGGTAGGAAAGGAAGGATACACGGAGAAGAAGACCGTAAGCAGGCACCAGAGGACGCCAATATTCATCTCCTTGCAGGGGTCCACCAGGCAGTAGTAGCCTTCAGTGAAGAGGTAGATGAGGGTGGAGTAAACGGCAAAATCCACGAACCACTGATACTCCAGGAAATAGCGCAGCACTGGGAATGGGCAGAGAGAAACGGGGCTGTCACCACCAGTCACACGGAGAAGAAGACCGTAAGCAGGCACCAGAGGACGCCAATATTCATCTCCTTGCAGGGGTCCACCAGGCAGTAGTAGCCTTCAGTGAAGAGGTAGATGAGGGTGGAGTAAACGGCAAAATCCACGAACCACTGATACTCCAGGAAATAGCGCAGCACTGGGAATGGGCAGAGAGAAACGGGGCTGTCACCACCAGTCGGTGCCTCCCGCCCCTGTGGTGTGTATGTGTGGTGGGGGGGGGGGGAGCAAGGTATACGTCACTAACTGGATTTTAGGCCCAAAGCCCTGAAAAAGGGCCCTGAGAATTGGGACTCCTGGGTTCTGTAATAGGTTCTGGGAGGCAAGTGGGGTCCTGTAGGTGGATTCAGGACTTCTGGGGTCTAGTCCCTGGCATTGCCACAGAAAACTTAGGTCAGTTCCAGTGTTCCCTGCAAGCTGAGCGCTGGGGCAGCCACTCGAGAAAGATTCGGGAGCTGCCCAGCTGATTATCAGAGTGCCCACAGCATGTATGTCTCCTGGTGGTGCACAGCTGTACATGCCTTGGTGCGCAGAAGAAAATGTATTCCACACACGGGGGAAAAAAAATTAGAGGGAACATTGGTCAGTTCCCTTCCCTTCTATGCCCCTCCCCCTCAGCCACTCCGGCGATGGGCACAAACTGACTCTGATTTACCAAGAGCATCTACGGTGGTTATTGGGGCGGTTTCCAAGTGCAGGTTGATGTCCTTGGGCACAGACAGGGGTTTCTCCTCTGTGACCCCGTTCATCCTCCTGCGAGAGAGAAACAGGCTCAGAATGGCAGGAAGAGACCCCAGCAAGGGCAGAGAGCAGCCCACGGAGCTGGAATTCACACTGCCTTCCTGCATTGGTTGCATCCAGCTGCTGTCACCTGCCTTGTACTTAGCCCAGCCTACACGTAAGAACAGCCACAAAGGTCAGACCAAAGGTCCATCCAGCCCAGCATCCTGTCCTCCGACAGTGGCCAACGCCAGATGCCCCAAAGAGAGTGAACGTAACAGGGAATCTTCAAGCGACCCCTCTCCCGTCACCCATTCCCAGCCTCTGACAGAGACCAGGTCTTCTCCCGTCACCCATTCCTCCCGATCCTGGCTAATAGCCATTGATGGACCTAACCTCCATGAATGTATCTAGTTCTTTCTTGAACCGTGTTTAAGTCCTGGTCTCCCCAACCTCCTCTGGCGAGGAGTTCCACAGGTTGACTGTGCGCTGGGTGAAGAAAGACTTCCTTTTGTTTGTTTTAAACCTGCTACCTGTTCATTTCATTTGGTGACCCCTAGTTCTTATGTTATGTGAACAAGTATAGAACTTTTCCTTATTCACTTTCTCCACACCAGTCCCGATTTTATAGACCTCTAGCATCTCCCCCCTTAGTCTCTTCTTTTCTAACCTGAAAAGTCTCAGTCTTTTTAATCTCTCTTCGTATAGGACCCGTTCCAAACCCCTCATCATTTTTGTTGCCCTTTTCTGAACCTTTTCCAATGGTTTGGTTTGGTTCTGGTAGACCTGGGTCCATTAATCTTGCATTCACTTTCACCGGGAAAAAAGCATCTAACTTATTCTCCTGCCGGCACACTCAGACACTCAGAGTGTGTTTGTGTGTGTTGCACTGCTTCAACGGGACTACTATCGGTACAGCAACAGTGTGTCACACGCTTCACAGGAAGATGTGCGCTTGTGCAGCTGCTCAGGAGAAATTCACCGGCCGCCCAGATGATTCACAGAGCGCACACGGCTAGGATGTGTGTGTCTACTGGTGGTGCACATTCGCACATGCCTCGGTGCGTGTAAAAATTTATTTCGCCCATGGAGGGAAAAAAATATCTGCCCATGGGTGGAAAAGATTGGAAGGAACATTGCTCGAAACTGAGGATGCTTCCTAAGCCACAGGGTCCTAATTGGAACCTCCGGGTGATATCATAATCAAACCCCAGGTACAACCGCCTGCCCTGACTCTGCTCACTAAACCATCTTCCCGGAGATGGGGACAGGTGGGAAAAATCAGGCCAGGAAGGGGAGGCATAATCTGCCCTCCAAATCATCCAGTCACCCCTGACAACAAAGCACGGACAGCAGGGGATCAGCTCACCGGTCTCGCCTGGTCTTGGGCTTCTGCTTCCCAGCCAGGGCGCACAACTCCTCCTCTGAAGGGTGCTTGTAGCGATGCAGACTGGAGGGAAGCACAAGAGGGGGTCAGTGCTGGGATAGGGAGAATCGGAAACGGATCAGTGGCAGCCAACCCCATTGCAGGCGTCTGGAGCTGAGGTTGTAGTACGTGGGCAGGGCTCCCCAGGGCAGGGCACAGAGAGGGGACGGTGGTGCATAGGCACAGCTGGGTATGTATGCAGGTGGGAGCTCAAGGAGGGACTAGCAGAGGAGGGAGGACCGAGGGGCATCAGCAGGCCAGTGTTTGAAGGACGTGGATGCAAGACTAGCACAGGAGCAGCAGTTTGGAGCCAGCTGGAAAACCCACCATACCTGCAGCTGCAGAGCAGCCAGCGGGCAAAGGAGCAATGTGGGGACATCTTCTGCATGATGCTTGCTGTGATCAGGCTCACCACCAGCTGCACCCCCATCACAGCCTGGCAAGGCAAGACGACAATCAGAACCACTACGGCAGCGCATCCTCTACGCCAGAGCACCCTGGCCAGATTTCTGGGCATACACAAATGGGTTTTCCAGACTCTACTTTGCAGGGCTGGTGCTCTCTGAACCCCCACTGAGTGCACAGGGCCTGCGCTAGGCACCCCAGGGGACTGTAATAGTGCACAGAGGTTTGTGTAGTCCTGTGAGCCGCCCCCACACCCAAGTGTCCAGTTTGAAACCTGATGCGGAAACCGCTACGCATCAGCACTGCAGCCCCCGCGCTAGAGGCAAGCGAGGTCCGGGAGCTGGTGTAGGTCTCTCTGGAGGAGAAAAGAAAACGCCCCTCCAACACTCAGCGGGGGAAGCGAGCGGCTGCGGCACATCCAGGCACCCCGAAGCGGCCGTGGCGTAAGACCCGGACACCAGACTCGGCCACCTCCCCTGCAGCCCGAAAAGGC